CCCCCCCAGGGCTCCCTGTGCGGGAAGGTGCCCTGGCCACCCATGTAGGCTGGGGCATGGGCCCTACCTCAGGGTAGTGGAGCAAGTAGAGCACAGCCCATTTGAGCACAGTCGTGGTGGTCTCCACGCCAGCCCCAAAGATGTCCCCCACCGTCATGAGCAGGTGGTCGTCTGTCAGCGCCATCCCCAGTGCCGAGGGGCTGCTGTTCTCAGCGCTGAGCCTCACTTGCAGGAGGGCATCCATGAGGTCCCTCACGGCGTCCCTGCAGAAGGCTTCCTGCCATGGGCCACGTGTAAGCCAGGCTGTGCAGGGCACATCCTCCTCCCTCCCCCCACCAGGCCCAGCACCTCACAGTCCCCCAGTGTCACCCCCCTCCTGGCCCCACCAGCACCTTGTGTTCAGCAAACTTCTGCTGGAGCAGCTGGTCCCTGACCTTGAGGCATTTCTTGAGGAGGGCCAAGTCCTTATTGGGGAAGATCTGGGGGAAAAAAATCGCTGTCACACAAAGGCCTCCAGCTCAGCCAGGCATCCACAGGCCCATGGACAGCTGCTCTGCACCCACCACAGTATCAGCTCTTGTGGGACACCTGTGCAAGGACCCTCCTAACCCCAAGGCCTCAGGTAGCCCCACCTGCAGGACACATCCCAGCTCCTTCTGATGTAGCTCCTTGCCCTGTGGGCACCCTTTGGGTGAGCTCTTCCCCACTCACCTGGAGCCAGGGGAAGATGTCCACCAAACTCTCCTTGGCCACGGTGTCTACGATGCCCTGGCTGTATTCCAGCATGGCCTCGAACTCAGGATCCCCACGCTGGTATGAGGAGTTGAAGCAGAGCGAGCAGACCACATTGGTGACAGCCCGTGTGAGCTCTGGGGCCACATCCAGGGCCATATCCTGTGCAGCGCTGAGTGTCTCACACAGGGATGCGGCCTCTCGGCAGACTGTGGGGCAGGCGAGAGACAGATGTGGGGATGATGAGCCCCAGGGCATCACCCAGGGAGCAAGACAGGGTAGTTTGGGGCTCCCAGGGCAGCTTGGGGCCAAACACAGCCCATAGGTGCTATATGATCCTGTAACCTAGTTGATCCAGGGATGCTACAGCTTATTGCGCCCCTCCAGCCATGCCTGAAGCTGATAACTCTTCCCTCTCACCAAATGCTTCCTGCTTTGGGCTGAAATCTCTCCTGCTGCTCCAGTCCCTTCCCATTTAGCAGCCCAGCCAAGGCTGGTGCTGGGGCTGCACTATTTTGCTCCCCCAAAACAACCTCCTTCCCAAAATATCCAATTCTCAAAGCACTCTGGAGAGGGCTGGGGACCTCTGGCCTCGTGCTGACCTCACGGGATGGTGCTCATGCTCGTGTCCCTCTGGGAAAGTTCAGTGAGGAGAGCAGCCAGAGTCGGGGGCTCCTGGGGTGCGCCTGTGCTCCCCACCCCACCGAGCTCTTTCAGCGCGAGCAGCCTGCAGAGAGCACCCTCCAGGCAGGGCTGAGCCCAGAGGGGCTGCGAAGGGGCAGACAGGACAAGACCCGGTGTCTCTGGGTCAGGAAGGAGCAGAGAGGACAAGAGACAGGCAAGGAGGTCTTTATATGAGGCACAACACTCCCTCCTGGCTGCAGCTGGAACCAGGAGTCCGGGACTTTGCATTTCCCAGCGGTTAGCAAACAGCCCTGCGCATGCCGAGGAAGCAGCGAGCCTCCCCGTGCCCGGCGCGCTGGGACACGCACAGGGCACGGACATCTGGCCACGCTCACTGCCAGGCTTGGACCAGCCCCAGCCTGGCTCTGTGCCTCAGTTTCCCCAGCTGTCAATGGGGGAAGCCAAAGCTCTGGTAACAGGCAGGACAAATGCATGTGGAGAGGTGTCAGTGAAACATTCAGGAGGGGAAAGAGAAACAGAGCGCCCAGCTAGACAAACTTGGGGGATGCTGAGGGGTTTGGGCTAAATCTCGGGCCACGGGGCAGGCAGAGGGGGAACGAGCCTCGGGCTGTCACAGGCGCACCCTGAACCCTCTCACACATCCGAAATCAGTCAGCCCTTGGTTCCTAGAGGATCAGGGAGAAAGCAAAATTCCAGCTATGGCCACGTGTAGGAGGGAGACACAAGAAGGAAAGAGCCTCCGCGCCCGGCCCGGCGGCGGAGCTGGCTGCTGCCTGGCAGGTTGCGGGGGACACGGGGCGGGCTGGGGGGAGCACTTACTGATCTTCTCGAGGGCGAGCGAGCCCTCCCCGAACATGGAGAGGGCCGCGTGCACCAGCTTGCGCTGGAACTTCCACAGGGGGCCGTAGCTGGCGAAGGCGATGTCCTTGCCCCCCCGCGACAGCAGGTCCGTGGTCACCTGTGCAAGCGCAAGTGCAAGGCCAACACGTCAGACAGGGGCGATACTGGGGGAGAGGCGGGGTGGCTCAGTGTTTCAACCCCTGCTGCCCCTCTCCCAGGGACGGCCTGGGGAAAGGGGTTAGTTTGGGAGGCAAAGCCCAGGCCAGCTGTTTCAGGGAGCAGTGCCGTGGGATGCGCAGGATCAGTGCCGGGTACAGGTGGGGTTTGGTGACTGACCGCGGCTTTTAGGGCGTGCACTGAGACCGAAGGGGTCTGGCCGTTGCAGCCTAGCGGTACAAAGACCCGTGGACTGCAGTGACCCCATGCACTGAGATGCAGCCGGCCCTGGGGGAAGGAACAGGCACCCTCAGGATGGAGGACGTGCGGGCTGGGCAGGGTCCCCCATGCTGGGTGGGGGGTGAGGGTTGTACCCCTCGGCCACCTTGCTCCTGGAAAGGATGGGGAGAGGAGACCGACTGCTGCCGGGGGCCAGGTCCTTTCCCTGTGACCTGGTCACG